GAACCCGGAGATTCGACAGTGAAGTATGGACTTTCAAGGTTTGGGTAGATATAAATACTTATTGCTGCTCCTCTTTGTTAATTCATTAATTCATGTTGCCATTAATAAATATTGATTACTTATATCTAATGGCCGACTTACATCTTTCCATGTATGAAAGTTGTGAGAGTTGGGATCCGATGTACAACATCGACCTGATCCTCTCAGGGCATTGCAGTGTTGAGAGGCACTGCTAACCACTCTTATTTTCCGAGTGGTAGTTGTAACGGAACCTTCCGTTAATGGACGCTTCCTAGCTTGCGCCGATGACCACAAGCACCGCACCAGACACCACAACCACTGCAGACTCCACAACCGCCGTAGCTTAACTGGAGTCTCGCCGTCTTCTGTCCACCCTGTATCAGCTTCTGTCCTCCAGGACCGTGTGGGAAAGACCCGGTAACCGGAAGTGACGTTTGACGTCGGAACGTAATGACGCAGAAGGCGTTCCGACGTCAGAACTGGAAATGAATGGATGCAATCCTAATGGAGGAGGAAAAGGGCGCCAATTTTAACTATTTTAATCGAGATGCCTTGGATATTGATATCACTTCGGATGAAGGCAAACAGCCGAAACACGTTAAGTGATTGGACTCTTATTTTGGGACTTTTTAATTTACCTTTGGATGTATGTTTTTATTTACTTCAAGATTTGAAGAATAAAGTGTATTTTACCGCTGGTTATCCTGCGTCCTGGAGGTTTTACATTTAAAGGAAAAAGAAGTTCCCAGTGGAGGTCCTGTTTGTAAATTCAAGGCATCCAGTTTGAGCCAGCTAATTAAGTGGCTCTGTTTATGTGAGTGTGATTAACACCTACTGCATATATATTTTACCAGGCTATACTACTCTATGTCTTTTTTATTTGGTTCTTTTCCAGATTAATTGACTGCAGTGTGGGTAGTATTTCCTCTATTTGTGTGCTCTCACCTATTTGTTATTTGTTCTTATTCACTGTGTTGTGGTTTGTGTGGCCCACAAAGGTGATAGTAGCACCTATTACTTTAGGGATTTATTCACTCAATTTGTTATTGTTTTCACATATTGGAAATTTATTCACAAACAGAACTTTACATAGGACATGAGGTCATGCGTTTAGATTGGAAGAAAGAAGATTTTGTCTAAGGCAAAGGAAGGTTTTTTTTTACTGTAAGAACAATAAGGATGTGGAATTCTCTGCCTGAAGAAGTGGTTTTATCAGAGTCCATACAGATGTTCAAACAGCTACCAGATGCATATTTGCAAAAACAGAATATTCAAGGATGTAATCTTTCAATGTAGGGTAATAACTGCTTGATCCAAGGATTAATCTGACTGCCATTCTGGGGTCAAGAAGGATTTTTTTTCCTAGCTTGTTGCAAAATTGGAAGTGCTTCAAAATGGTTTCTTTTGCCTTCTTTTGTATCAACAGCAAAAAACAAATGTAAGGAAGGCTGAACTTGATGGCCGTAAGTCTCTTTTCAGCTATTTAACTATGTTCAGTCTATCGCCAAATCCTGTCGTTTCCATCTCAAAAACATTGCACGCATCTGACCCTACTTAACCCCAGATGCGACTAAGGTGTTGGTCCATTCCATTGTCCTTTCTTGCCTTGACTACTATAATCCGCTTCTCAGTGGTCTTACGTGCTCCAAACTACAGTTCATAATAAATGCGGCGGCGAGGCTAGTCTTCCTGTCCGCCCGCACCTCCCACGCCACACCTTTCTGTCAGTCCCTACATTGGCTTCCTGTAAGATATGGGGCCCAATTTAAAATTCTGGTTATTGCTTTCAAATCTCTACATAATGCTGCTCCCACCTATCTATCCTCACTACTACACAAGTATGTCCCGTCTAGGCCCTTATGCTCTGCTGAAGACTTACTGGATGGGTGCTTCTCTCCGTACTCCCACCTCTGATGCTCACCTTGAAGACTTCTCCAGGGCTGCACCGTTCCTGTGGAACTCACTTCCCTCCCCCGTTAGATGCTCACCCAGTCTCCACTCCTTCAAAAAAATAATTAAAAACCCACTTCTTCATGAAAGCGTATCAATTAAACTGTTAATAGCTCCAGACTAATTCCTCTCTTGCAACTGTCATTAGTCTAATACTATCCTTACCTTTTGTGTCACTTTACCCCACTCCCTCTAGCATTTAAGCTCATTGAGCAGGGCCCTCAATCCCTCTGTTACTGTGTCACTATACCCCACTCCCTCTAACATGTAAACTCACTGAGCAGGCCCTCAATCCCTCTGTTACTGTGTCACTATACCCCACTCCCTCTGAGCAGGCCTCAATCCCTCTGTTACTGTGTCACTATACCCCACTCCCTCCAACATGTAAACTCACCGAGCAGGGCCCTCAATCCCTCTGTTACTGTGTCACTATACCCCACTCCCTCTAACATGTAAACTCACTGAGCATGGCCTCAATCCCTCTGTTACTGTGTCACTATACCCCACTCCCTCTAACATGTAAACTCACTGAGTAGGGCCCTCAATCCCTCTGTTACTGTGTCACTATACCCCACTCCCTCTAACATGTAACCTCACTGAGCAGGGCCTCAATCCCTCTGTTACTGTGTCACTATACCCCACTCCCTCTAACATGTAAACTCACTGAGCAGGCCCTCAATCCCTCTGTTACTGTGTCATTATACCCCACTCGCTCTAACATGTAAACTCACTGAGCAGGGCCTCAATCCCTCTGTTACTGTCACTATACCCCACTCCCTCTAACATGTAAACTCACTGAGCAGGCTCTCAATCCCTCTGTTACTGTGTCACTATACTCCACTCCCTCTAACATGTAAACTCACTGAGCAGGCCCTCAATCCCTCTGTTACTGTGTCACTATACTCCACTCCCTCTAACATGTAAACTCAATGAGCAGGCCCTCAATCCCTCTGTTACTGTGTCACTATACTCCACTCCCTCTAACATGTAAACTCACTGAGCAGGGCCTCAATCCCTCTGTTACTGTGTCACTATACCCCACTCCCTCTAACATGTAAGCTCACTGAGCGGGCCCCTCAATCCCTCTGTTACTGTGTCACTATACCCCACTCCCTCTAACATGTAAACTCACTGAGCAGGGCCTCAATCCCTCTGTTACTGTGTCACTATACCCCACTCCCTCTAACATGTAAACTCACTGAGCAGGGCCTCAATCCCTCTGTTACTGTGTCACTATACCCCACTCCCTCTAACATGTAACCTCACTGAGCAGGGTCTCAATCCCTCTGTTACTGTGTCACTATACCCCACTCCCTCTAACATGTAAACTCACTGAGCAGGGCCCTCAATCCCTCTTTTACTGTGTCACTATACCCCACTCCCTCTAACATGTAAACTCACTGAGCAGGCCCTCAATCCCTCTGTTACTGTGTCACTATACCCCACTCCCTCTAACATGTAAACTCACTGAGCAGGACCTCAATCCCTCTGTTACTGCCACTATACCCCACTCCCTCTAACATGTAAACTCACTGAGCAGGGCCTCAATCCCTCTGTTACTGTGTCACTATACCCCACTCCCTCTAACATGTAAACTCACTGAGCAGGCCGTCAATCCCTCTGTTACTGTCACTATACCCCACTCTCTCTAACATGTAAACTCACTGAGCAGGGCCCTCAGTCCCTCTGTTACTGTGTCACTATACCCCACTCCCTCTAACATGTAAACTCACTGAGCAGGCTCTCAATCCCTCTGTTACTGTGTCACTATACCCCACTCCCTCTAACATGTAAACTCACTGAGCAGGCCCTCAATCCTCTGTTACTGTGTCACTATACCCCACTCCCTCTAACATGTAAACTCACTGAGCAGGGCCCTCAATCCCTCTGTTACTGTGTCACTATACCCCACTCCCTCTAACATGTAAACTCACTGAGCAGGGCCTCAATCCCTCTGTTACTGTGTCACTATACCCCACTCCCTCTAACATGTAAACTCACTGAGCAGGACCTCAATCCCTCTGTTACTGTGTCACTATACCCCACTCCCTCTAACATGTAAACTCACTGAGCAGGCCCTCAATCCCTCTGTTACTGTGTCACTATACCCCACTCCCTCTAACATGTAAACTCACTGAGCAGGGCCCTCAATCCCTCTGTTACTGCCACTATACCCCACTCCCTCTAACATGTAAACTCACTGAGCAGGGCCCTCAATCCCTCTGTTACTGTGTCACTATACCCCACTTCCTCTAACATGTAAATTCACTGAGCAGGCCCTCAATCCATCTGTTACTGTGTCACTATACCCCACTCCCTCTAACATGTAAACTCACTGAGCAGGCCCTCAATCCCTCTGTTACTGTTTCACTATACCCCACTCCCTCTAACATGTAAACTCACTGAGCAGGCCCTCAATCCCTCTGTTACTGTGTCACTATACCCCACTCCCTCTAACATGTAAACTCACTGAGCAGGGCCCCAATCCCTCTGTTACTGTGTCACTATACCCCACTCCCTCTAACATGTAAACTCACTGAGCAGGCCCTCAATCCCTCTGTTACTGTGTCACTATACCCCCACTCCCTCTAACATGTAAACTCACTGAGCAGGCCCTCAATCCCTCTGTTACTGTGTCACTATACCCCCACCCCCTCTAACATGTAAACTCACTGAGCAGGCCCTCAATCCCTCTGTTACTGTGTCACTATACCCCACTCCCTCTAACATGTAAACTCACTGAGCAGACCCTCAATCCCTCTGTTACTGTGTCACTATACCCCACCCCCTCTAACATGTAAACTCACTGAGCAGGGCCCTCAATCCCTCTGTTACTGTCACTATACCCCACTCCCTCTAACATGTAAACTCACTGAGCAGGACCCTCAATCCCTCTGTTACTGTGTCACTATACCCCACTCCCTCTAACATGTAAACTCCCTGAGCAGGGCCCTCAATCCCTCTGTTACTGTGTCACAATACCCCACTCCCTCTAGCATGTAAACTCACTGAGCAGGCCCTCAATCCCTCTGTTACTGTGTCACTATACCCCACTCCCTCTAACATGTAAACTCACTGAGCAGGGCCCTCAATCCCTCTGTTACTGTGTCACTATACCCCACTCTCTCTAACATGTAAACTCACTGAGCAGGGCCCTCAATCCCTCTGTTACTGTCACTATACCCCACTCCCTCTAACATGGAAACTCACTGAGCAGGGCCCTCAATCCCTCTGTTACTGTCACTATACCCCACTCCCTCTAACATGTAAACTCACTGAGCAGGCCCTCAATCCCTCTGTTCCTGTGTGTCCAACTTGTCTGGTTACAACTACATGTCTGTTCGTCCACCCACTGTAAAGCGCTACGGAATTTGTTGGCGCTATATAAATAATAACATAAAAACATAATAATAAGAGACTTTGCTCCAATCAATGCCTTCCTGCGGCCACCTCTAAAGGGGCATCTGGCGTGCAGGGTTGGGATGCTCAACCCAAAATAATTCTGATCTGGATTCCAAATATATACGCATAGGACACACCGATATTGGGGGTGCTCTGACATAGTGATGGTCTTAACACTATAGTGTAACCAAATTCCCGCTAAAATCTGTTGTTTTAAATAACATTAAAATATTCTAAACTTTATTATTATTTTTGAGCGTGCGCTGTTTCTTAATCTGTATTTTGTATATATTTTGGTCATTACAGCAGTACCACTATTGACAGATGTACATTCTGGTGTGCCCCCAATATTTTCTGTATCTCTTGTAATTAAACCACAATACTTCCCAGCATGCATCTGTTTTCTTCGGACTGGGTTTATTTTTTTTTATTATTTTTGCATTAGGATGGGTGCTTTATAAATATAATGATCATGGGTTGGAATATATTATCAGAAATATCTCAAACTGCTGAGCAGTTCATAAAACACACGTTAACCCAATATTACAGACCATTCCTGGTCTCTTGATGAATGCATTGCTTTTTCTTAGTGACAGGTCCACTTTAAACCTGGGAGCTACCCAAAAAGTGATATATAATTCCAACATATCAGTATTATTCACCTAAACCCAAGATGTTTGAATCCCCCATAACTAACAATTTGCAGCACTTCTAAGTACAGTATCTATATAACATTTTTATTACTTTTGCCAGAGACAGAAATAAATAAATCCCTGGGAGCTGTATGTGTAAAATTCATTTTTCCCTACTAAGAATTTTCCTGTTTTGCCGCATCTGTCAACGTGTAATTTGAGGACCTCAAATATAGTCTGTAGCACTGTATATTCCATTCCCTTTATTTAACATTAAGTACGCCGGCCGGGCTGCGGCTACTCTGCTAATGATCTGAGTTACATGATAAGATGTTTGATTAACCAATTTCGTTGATTGACGCAACTCCAAGCAGAAAATTGAAAAAATAATTGGGGTGCATTGGAGCCTTTTACTTTGATATATAGACACTATTGTTTTTGACGACACAGTTGGTGCTTCTATGATTAGTTAATTTAACTCTTTGCTGTTCACCCACAGTGGGGTAAGTGATGCTTTGAGGATACTGTGATTTAATTTGCTGTTACAATAAAACATCTTCTTTATTCCAAGATACGCATTCCGTGCCTTTTTCTTATTGCTGGGAAAAAAATAAAAAAAACTTTAGATAGGCCATGATAAGGCTGTTATTTTATGTTGATCTTTTATTTCCTTATTATATTATCTTTTATCATGACACTTCATTATATTCTCGTACCTAGTTGTGATTTTACTGTGTTTTCTCATTACTCACTGCCTGCCTTATGTTTTGCCTGTGAATTCTGTTTTAAAGAGCGATTTTCCTGTGGTTAAACATGTCCTTTTCCAATTTATTGCACCCAGTAAAAGCGTTCTCTCTTACTGCCGGCGGTTGCGTATACGCTCCATCGTAACACGATTCTTTGTTCCCACGTCCTGTGGCTTTCCACTTAATTGAGCTTAATGTTAATGATATGTAGACTTCCTTTAAAAAGTAAAGATTAATTGTTAGAGAGTGAAGGAGTTCCTGGGCTTCTAGAGCCCCACGGATCAGCTATGGGAGGTAGTGCACCCAGGCCTGTCTCGAGGGGCTGATTCACCATCCCGGAGTGTTTTAGGGTGTCTCTGATCAGATGAAATAACAATCTCAGGTACGCCGTGCTCTCAGGGTTGGATGAGACAGATCACGGCTGGCGTCCACTTTTTAATTTGTTTCTTGTTAAAATGTCTGTCTGTCTAACCTGTCTGTCCGACTTCCTGTAATTTATACAGCGCATACACACACCAAGCAGAAAAATTCATAGACACACAAACAGTGGGAGAGGGGAAGGGGTTTACCAATTCAGGACATGCCTTGGACTTTATCTCCGCACGTAATGTCCTGCTTCTTTAAGCCCAGCCACTCCATATATTGCCACAGTTCCTTTGTGAGTATGGTATGTTGGAATGGGCCTTTCGTTTACTGATATCTAGGAGCAGGGCATTCTAGAACTGGGGTCCTTAGTTTTACTGGTATCTAAGGGCAAGGCATTCTAGACCTGGGGTCCTTACTTTTACTGATATCTAAGGCTTAGACATTCTAGAATTGGGGTCCTCAGTCTTACTGCTATCTAGGGGCAAGACATTCTAGAACTGGGGTCCTTAGTTTGACTGATATCTAATGCTAAGGCATTCTAGAACCGGGGGCCCTTGGTTTTACTGCTATCTAAGGGCAAGACATTCTAGAACTGGGGTCCTTAGTTTTACTGGTATCTATTGGCAAGGCATTCTAGAACTAGGGTCCTCAATCTTACTGATATCTAAGGGCAAGGTCTGAGTGATTATAGCTGCAGTTCGGGTGTAGATTAGAATGGTTCCAGACGAATGCAGCATCCAAGTAGTTTCTCCCCAGCAAGTAGACAGTTACCCAAACATGACCCCAGACTTCATGAAGGGTACAACAGGAATGATTTTAATGGGTGCCATACTGGCTTTTATGCAAGTTCTCATGGTAGGGGCACTCCAACATGGACCTTGTGGGGAACAGTAGCCAGCAGATCTGGTAGGGGAAGTCGCTCACTATCCTCGGTTGACGGGGTGCATATGGAAGCCACATCCTCTGCCTGTTCAAAATAGGGTTTCAACATGTTCATATGAAAAGTTTGTTTGATCGGAACATTTCCCTACGATGTAGGTGGTGTCGCTAATCCGTTCCACCACCTTAAAGGGCCCGTGCCAAGCTGCCTGTAGTTTATTCTTTTTGAAGGGTCTAAGCGCTAGCACCTTTTGACCAATCTCTAGTACCCTATCTCGGGCCCCCCTATCGTACCACCGTTTCTGTCGTTTTTGAGCAACTTGTAGGTTTTCTCGAACTTAGTCGGTCAGGGCCTGCAACCGGTCTCTGAAGTCCAGGACGTATGCTACCACAGGGATTCCTCCTTTGTCCTGTATTGTCCTACCAGTGCTCCCATATGAGGCCCAGGGATCCCCGGACTTTTCTCCTGTAAAGGAGTTCGAAGGGGGAGAATAAGGTGGATGCCTGGCGCACTTCTCGGTAGGCAAACAGGAGATGAGGAAGAAACCGTTCCCAGTGTCCATAGGACTGCTTAAGAGTGCCGTTAAAGCGTTAACAGAGGCCGTTGGTCTGTCTAGGGATGGTAGGGAGAGCTGAACAAGGGCTTGGCACTGCAGCTCTGCCATAACTGTTGTGTTACAGCTGAGGTGAACTGGGTCCCCTGGTCAGACAGGATCTCCTGTGGAAAACCTACTCTAGAAAGATTTTGACTAGGGCCTCAGCTACGGTTTCTGCTTCGACATTGGAAAAGGCTACAGCCTCTGGGTATCTAGTGGCATAGTCCACTACCGTGAGGTTGTAGTTCTTTCCCGAGGAACTGGGTTTGCTGAGGGGACCTATCAGGTCCACCGCTACTTTGTGGAATGGCTCTTCTATTATGGGTAAGGAGCGTAATTTAGCTTTAGGATGATCACCCCTCTTCCCTATCCTCTGGCAGGTATCACAAGTCCTGCAGTATGCTTGAATATCTTTGGAGATCCTGGGCCAAAAGGACATCTGGGTGAGGCAGTCCTTAGTCTTCTTCACACCCAGATGTACTGCTAAAGAGCATAAGGAGTTCTGCCCTGTATACTTGCGAGGTACCACTACCTGCCTTTTTAAAATTTGGGCCGCCACACTCCCAACCCTCCCCCCGGTTACTCTGTACAATAACCCCTTCTCCCAACTAAACCTTTCTTGGGAATTACCTTCCTTAGGGAACGCTATGACTTTTCTATACCCTGCTAAAGTGGCATCCTGCCCAAAGCCATGTGGGGTACCCCAGAACGGGATGGGGATATGGGACAAGGATGGACTGGTTGGTACTACATGTGGCTCCTCGGAGTGTGCTGGCTCCCCCCAGCGGGCTTGGGCCCGAGTGGTCACTGGGTACGTCCCGGCTGGTTCAGGTGGTGTCAGCTGCAAAGTTAGACATTTTTCACAAAACTTGGATCAGCCCCCCAGCCTCTCAGCTCTCCCGTAGTTACATAGCTCATTCCCTGCTCTGTTTAAATGTCCTGTTGCTGAACTGAGTCTAGCAGTTCTATATAGTCTAGATACCTCTGCCAAAAGGACCGCTTCCTTGCTGAAACAGGATAGGGTACTGGCTCAGGGCCTGGACGACACACAGTCCTGGGAGCTCTAGTGCTTACAAGGACTTTCCCCGATTAATCCCCACGCTGAAACAAGCTGGAACAGTGATTAGCCCTTTCCCCTCCCAGTAACCAGATGACACATAGCTCTGGGAGTACAAGCTGGAATGCTTTAATCTGGCCAGATGGCCTGCTTTTATACATATCACAGTAAACACGCCCAGGTCACTCCCATAAACACAACTACAAAATGTCCCCAAAATGCAGTGTCAGCGTGACTCAGCATAAAATGTAACAAATGTGAAAAAAAATAAAAATAATAATTTCCCACATAGAAACCCCCACAGTCTATATATCCCTGGGCAGCCTGGATCTCCCACGAACACAGCCGAAACGCCACCGGGGTAAAATTTTGACCGGCCGCACACATGGTTCTATGCCCAAAACAGTTCCGAGCATTTGTTGCTTTTGCTGGTCAATTTCGGGAGTTATATGTGAAAGAAATACTGAATGCACACTATAACTTGTTGGTAGCGTTTGTGCTTTCCTGACATGTGTGGGAAAGATGCAGGTGTTTGTCAAAGTTCAGCGGTGTTTGGGAGTTTCGGTGTCCGATTTTAGTTCCATGAACTCGACGCCCAAACAACACTGCCTACATTCTCGC